ATATATTTTGTGTGTGTGTGTGTGTGTGTGTGTGTGTGTGTAACCAGGGATTGAACTTAGACCCTTGCACTTGCCAGGGAAGCACTTATTCTACTGAACCATCTCCCCGGCCCCGGTCTCATATTTTTAAGCACAGAACTTGTTTGGTTTCATGAGCTCAAAGCTGGAAAGGAATCTGTCTTTTTTTTTTTTTTTTTTGCGGAACTGGGGGTTGAACTCAGGCCCTTGCACTTGCTAGGGAAGCGCTTATTCCACTGAGCCATCTCCCCAGCCCCAGGAATCTATCTTAGAACAAATCCTCTCCAGCAAGTCTTACCCCTACCTAATAGAGGCAATATGCAAAAGACTTTGGTTTTGTCTATTTTAAATAGGGTCTTGCCATGTAGTTCAGCCCTTGAACTCTCAGCCTTCTGAGAGTTAGGATTGTAGATGTATGCCACCATGCTCAGTGGAGGCTTTGTTTTTATTTTTATTTTTTTATGAGCAGAATATATTTACTGAGGGAAAGATAGCTCCTGTCCAAGAGAGGGACAGGACGGGGGCCTGAGCGGGTGGTTTCCCCCCAGTTTAGGCTTTCGTCTCTAAACTGACTTGATGCTAGAATAAATTAAGGCTTCGAGGCTACTGGGATGGAATGAACATATTTTGTATGTGAGGACATGAATTTTGGAAGCAAGGGGCAGAATGCTTTGATCTAAACATTTGTGTATCCCTAAAACTCATATACTGAACCACAACCTGAAGTGACATGGGGGATGGGGTCTCTGTGAGGCGGTTAATGCAAAAGACTAGGGAAAGCATTTTCCTGTCTGCCACTGACTAGGAAGGACAGGGATGACTGTTGGCACTTTGCTCTGGGACTTCTAACCCCAGACTGTGACTAGTAGGTTTTAGCCATGTCTTAGTTTCCTAGACTAAGATGTTCAGTCACAGGAATATAAAACATGTAAGACAGTTCATGGCCCAGGCAGTTGACCACACCTTGCTGCACCTTTCCTGCCACCCACAGAGTTGCTGTAACGATCATGAGCTGGGGGTGGTACATTGTGTAGAGGCAGGATTCTCATACATGGGAACACACTGTGGCAAGACAAACTGGTCCCTGCACAAAACGGAGTGACAAGGAATATGAGGAAGTCAAGGGGCAGATCAATTGTGAATCCCACACACACCCGGGAGATGATTCCTATGAAAACAGAAAGTCAATGCATGGGATTGCTGGGATTTCCAGCAATCAGGACCAAATCTGTTCAGCTCAGGCTGTTCTGAGAGAACCTTGTCGCTGGACAACCATACCACGGCCAAGAGTACCTACCTCTCACCCTGCTGCTCAGAAAGGGCAGCAAGGCCTCAGGCAAGGACCCCACTTTGCTGTGTCCCACCTCCAGCTGGACCTGGGAACTGTCCACTGCAAGGCACAAGCCAAAAGACATGGCCACCCCCTAGCAGCAGGCAGCAGTACTCCTGGAAACACACTGGCTCTAGCATGGCAAGATGAGCCCTTTTCCTCAGAATGTCAGAGAAGAGCACTCAGTATGGGTACTAGGGCTGAACTTGGGACACTGCTGCCTTGGGCATGGCCTTGTGTGCACGGGCACAGAGTTGTTCTGTGGACCATGTCTCCTCTCCACCATGGATCTAGACCATGCTGTATTCAGAAGTAAACTGAAGTGCTTTTCTTTTGATTGCGAAAGCCTCACGGCAGATCTGGAGACTAATGCTAAAAGAACTTGAAATTACAGGCAGCAAGGGGACTAGGGAGGAGGGTGCATGGGGGCTCTCTGTACTTCTTCTGTAGACCTTCTTTGTACTTCTGTAGACCCAAAACTCTCCCCAAGATAAAGTCTAGCTATAATGCTGACAAATACACAGACCCTATGCCCATCTTTCTTTGGGTAGAGAACAACCTGCAATTTAGCTGAGCCCCTTGAAACCCTCTGAGAGGTGGCACTGCTGCTACCCAGTCTGGCAAGTGAAGGGCAATGCCCCAGGGAGCAGGCGAGAGCCTGAGATGGTCAAGACTCTTAACTCACCTCATCTGACACTTTAAATCTCCGCAGCAGGGCCACAACCTTCTGCTTGAAGTTCTGTTGCTGCACGACAAAGGGTCAGCATCAGAAGCAATGTGGGAGCCACGAGGTGAGTGCGGCTCAAGCGTGCCACAAAACAGCTGGTGGGACATGGCTCGCACAGACGCCAACACACACAGACACACAGCATCTGAGCTGGGACCAGCCTGCAGATGCCTGGGAAGGGCAGACAGCTGAGCCCAGAGGAGGGGAGCAGAACAAGGGTGTGCTGATTCCTTAGTCCCTCCAGAAGCCTCTGCAGCACCACCCCTCAGAAAAGCTGCTATGCGTCCATGTGGCATGTAGGAGGGTGGTCCTGCTGCATCCTGGCTGCCCTGGGTTGCAGAGCCTCTGATCCTGCCATTGGCCACTAAACGGGGCAGAGGCCCTCAGCCATATACACAGTGCCAACCTAGGGGGACCCTCTATACCCTGCAGGGCTAGAACCCAGCTTCCTGAGATGGCGTGGCTTACTTGCCCATAGCCTCCCTCTTCTTGCCAAAGAGGTATAGAATTGTGCCCTTGGTGGGCACTGGGCTGGGGCTTTCTTGGCATCCACACAGCCATCTGTGGGCAAGGCCCTGTGTGGGGCTCTGGGCCCCAGAAAGAACTCTGCAGCTGGCAGAGGTGGGGCTGCCCCAGCTCTCCTCTCGAGCCTTACTCCTATGCCTGCAGGTGGTCAGAAGGCCCTAAGAAAGTGCAACTGTCATGCTCTAGGTGTTTGGGTGGCAAGCCAAGGAGAAAAACATGCCTCCAGGAGGACCCTAGAAAGCAAGGTGGCCTCATTCTGCCCCCTCAAGCCCATATAACCACATGGTATGGAGCCAGGACAGGGTGGCATTCAGAGGGCTAAATAGCCAAGGGCTGCCACAGGATTTGCCCTGCCTAGTTCATGTCTACTTTCTGACAGTGGCCAGGAGCTAACTGCAGCAGCCCATCCAAGGGCAAGGCCATGGTGTGGGGAATGCATCCCCAAGGGGCTTCTTGTCCACAGCATCACCATAAGGACTCACAGGCCATGCATCCACTGCACCTGTGCAGCCAACCACCCAGGCCCATCCCCAGTGTTAGTAAAACCAGCTTCCACCGACCCTGGTCATGGACGTCGTTCTTACTATCGAGCTCCGCTGCTTCTCAGCTTTGCCCACATCAAAGTCATCCTCATCCAGGTCCTGTGGAGACACAGTGGTCCCTGAAGCTGCAGTTCTGCCTGTCCTGGTGGCCCGCCCAAGGCTGGGGCTAAGGACATCCAGGACCCCCCCCCCCCAGCCGCAGCACTTCCCACCCCGCAGCACTCGCCACCCATGCCCTGTGCTCATTACCTGCCCTTGCACAGCATCATCACTGGCCTCCTGCTCAGAGGAGAAGCTCTCGTACTCCTCCTCAGAGTAGTTATCTGTGGAGGGAGGGGCCACGTGTCCAGATGACAACTACTTCCACTGCAGCTACATGGCCACCATGCCTAAGACCCCGGCGCAGAGGGGAAATGCAGCAAGAGGCCCAGATGCCAGGTGAGGTCCTGAGCCCCAAGACCCTGAGGTCAGCAGATGACATGGTACGGGACTGGTAGAAGTGTCCAGAGGGGTTGAAGGTAGGGGCCATGGGAATTGGCCTAGACAAAGCCTCCTTCATTTTGGCCAATAAGGGAGGGATGCCACTTCAACAGAGATGGTAGCAGCAGCTGATGGTCATAAATCACCTCACGATGCCAGGCTACGTGCCCATGCACTCAGAGGCAGCAAGGGTCACTCTATGACCATTCTCCCCGGAGGATGTGTGGAAACTAAGCTTGGTGATGAGGAGCCAGAGCCATGTCTACAACCACACAGGTGACCTTGCTCCAGGGTTTGCAGTTGAGGGAGCAATTACCAAGGCTTCACACCCAACCTACTTTTCCAATCACCTGGTGGCTGCGCCACCTGACATGGCCAGGCAGGAAGAAGCACTCTCAGGTAGAGGCAGGAAGGGCCCAAACTGGTCTCACACACCTGTGGACTTGGCCTTGGGGCCGGCCTGCATGGCACTGTCCTCGTGGTCAATGGGCTGGCTGGACAGGGAGACAATCCAGATCTCAGCCACCTTGACAGAGGCCTCCTTGATGCTGCTGCAGAGGCTCAGCACCTGGCCACCCTCTGAGGGGTGCTGCATCACCTGTGGGTGCAGAGAGCTCTAGGAAGCAACCCAGGAAGAAGGGCCCCCGCCTCAGAGCCTAGCCCAAGAGCAGGACACCCAGCACGTAAGAGCCTGGCTGCAGAGGAAGGCAGGGGATCCAGGTAGAGGCCACCAGCTAAGTAAGAAATAAAGGTGGGAAGTGTCCATAGCCACTGGTTCCTGCCATACCTGCTGTCCCTCGGAAGCCACCTGCCGGGGACCACAGCAGCCAATGTATGTGGCATCAGGCATGAGGGCCAGTCAGTGGCACAACATGGCCATGGACTTTTGAGACCTGACGTCCAAGGACTCATGTCAGTGGGGACTGAGAAAGAGCAGCCACCACTCCACCGCAGCTCAGGTCTGCAACAGTGTGAGAGAGACACCAGGCCTGGTTCATAGAACCATCAAGCCTAGGGCTACCTATGTCACACTTGTCAGAAAACAGAGGGCAGAGTAACCCAGCTACCACCCAGCAGTAGCAACACTCTGGCTCACACCAGCCACAGAAACCACGGGCGCCTTCAGATCTCACAGACAAGCCTTTGTGCTGTGTGGGTGTGTGCTACTGGGCCAGGGAGCACTAAGCCACATCCCCAGACCTTTAAGTTTTTATTTTGAGAAAGGATATCGCTAAGTTACCTAGTCTGGCCTTGAACTACCAATTCTTCGGCCTCGACCCTACCTCCTGCGCCTGAGCGTGATAGGATTTCAAGTGTGTGCCACCATGCCCAACTGTCCTTTGTACTTTTCAAATTATCTCTGGGGCCATCTGATCAAATTCAGATGTTAGGAATTTATGGGTCAGACGTTTTTTGTTTTTGTTTTAATTGGGGGTGCTAACTCTAATCAGTAAGAAAAATAAAATTTTAAGTAAGTTCAAATCTGATTCACCATTTTAGAAACCGCATGCAGCATGGGAGCAGCTCTGTCACAACCCACCCCTGGTGCCTTCATGTGGGCACCACGTGCCTGTGTGTGCCCAGTCCTGCACTGCAGATGCCACCACCATGGCAGGGAACAGAACATGCCAGATCCAGATGCTGGGAGAAGAGATGGGGAGACAGTATGGGAGCCTGAGCAGCTGATGTGCAGGACAGCAATCCCACCCCCCTTGGTTGCCACAGACACTGGACATAGCCCTACAGCACAAGTCTAAAGTTTAAGAGATAACCAGGACAGGTCCCAGCCACCCCAGTTCCCAGAACTGTTCCCCTGACCCTGTGGCAGAGGAGAAAAGTCCGAGCTCCTCTGTGCCCAGAACTCCCCCCCGCCCGCCACCTCTCACAGCCCCTTGGAGCACCTGCTCCAGGATGGTGGGCTAGGCTGAAGTCTTCCCATGATGGCCCTGCTGCCTAGTGGGGGCTGAGCGGGGTGCCCATGAGGATCCTATTGGGAGGGTTTTTTTTTTTTTTTTTTTTTTTTTTTTCCGAAACTAGGGATTGAACTCAGGCTCTTGTGCTTGCCAGGCAAGCACTTATTCTACTGAGCTATCTCCCCAGTCCCTATTGGGAGGTTTGGAAGTGGGGTACACATGGGGCTGCAGTGAAGACGGGATGCAAACCACAGGGATGGTACATAGCCATTACTGTGCAGCCCTGATAGGGGCTCCTGCTGCACTGAGATGGACATCTTGACATGTGAGGGAAACTGGTATGAGCAAGGCCACCGAGGCCCGGCACTCACCTCCGCCATGTTGATGGAGCCCACAGCCAGGGTCTTGTAGCCCAGGATGGTCCTGTTTTTGTATCGTTTCCTGCGCTGCAGCATGATCTGAAGCTTGTTGCCTTCTCTCTTCAAGAAGTGAGGGTACTGCAGGCACAAGGAGCTGCCTAAGGCACGCCCAGCAAAGGGTGACCCTGGCTCTGCCCAAGCCCTTGCAGACGCACGGGCAGGCCCAGACGTCAGTGGCACTGTGCACCCCAGCTGAACAGCCAGATACAACTGCACCCAGCATCTACACTTACAGAAGCACATGTGTAAGGCCGATGCTCAAGACCCTTTCTTGGGTATATAGATAAAGTAATCTGAGACTACGGCAGCTGAGTCCATCCCCTGGCTGCAAGGCTGTCGCTGCACACCTGTACATGTGTCTCAGAAGCCCAGAACCAAGCACACAAAGAAGCTGGGTGAATTACATATTTGGCAAACTGAACTTCAGAAAGGGGCTTCCACGGGCTGCAGATGTGGCAATGAGGGCAGTAGGAGGGGCTGGCAGGGACTCAGGTGTTATACCACAGAGTAGTGCCACATGTTTAAAAGACAAAAGAGGATCTTATGAGACTTAGGGTGAATTGATTTAGTGGGTTTGGAATGAGCTGGCTGATCCACTTTCCTGACAGGACAGGGATCTGGAGAAGGTAGAGAAGGAGAGGTCAGGGGGCAGGAAGAGCAGATGTCTACTAAGTTCACTCTAAGATATGTATAACACATTCAAAGCCCACATGTTTCTGCCCATCTTTTTTAAGTATGAGGATGAAATGACCTCAATTTGATAACTGGATGTTTCTGTCTTATTGCATTTTCTTTGTCATAGCAAAGGGTTAAAACAAATAATGTAATAAACCAAGAAAACCTCCTGGCCATTTAAGAATAAATGGTAAGACAGGATTAAAAGTAAGAAGGATGAAAGGGGCAATGAGGAGGTCATATCAACACCAAGGACACTGACCACTCACTCACCTGAAGAGAGAAGGTCAGGGCCAGGTCAGTCTCCACTTGTCCACTGGGGGGCAGCACAATCTCATGAGACCGCAGGACCCTTTTGGAGCCCTGTGAGGAAACAGACGCCTTCCATTTAAGGGTATCATACAGTGAGATAGACTCAGGACAGGGGTCATCGTCAAGGGGCACTGTGGGACAGCTAGTAGCCCAAGAATCCTGCGCCTACCAGTTCTGTGGGGTCTGCGCAGGAGAGAGAAACTAAGGATCAGCCTGCCAGAGCAGATGCAGGTCTGAAGATGCAGGGCCAGCTTGCAATGTTAAGGCTGTGGCATGGGTGCCAATACCTCAGAACCCTCAGAATGACCACCCTACAAGGCACAGTACTCGACACGTGTAAACACCACCATGGGCACCTGACACTGCCTTGCACCCTTAGCAGGAAGTGGATATTGCATCACTGAGATCAAACACAGAAGGATCCACTGTACTCCACGGTGGGCTCCCAATGTTTTAAAGACCTGTATCATAGTGCTAATTAAGGGATCTGTCTTATTTTTTTTAAAATTTTTTGGCACAACCGGGGATTGAACTCAGGCTCTTGCACTTGCCAGGGAAGTGCTTATTCCACTGAGCCATCTCCCTGACCCCTAATTAAGGGATCTGTTCCAACAGGGCACCCCTCAAGACTGCCAGGACAGGAAGCCAGGCAAGGACCCTAATACTAGCTCCTCAGGAGTCCACAGCAAGTGGGCAGAGGTGGGGTTACAGCAGAGGTACGTGGGCAGGCTGCTCCAGGGGGGCAAGACAGATGGCATAGGAAAGGAGCTCAGTCGGCTATGGGGTGGCTGTGGAGTTTAGGGCCTGTTCCACTATGCAGCTCCCCAGCTCCACAGTAGCCTTCCCCCTCTCCCTTCTCTCTGGGGTCCCGTGGTCACACACAGGGGTGGTCTTAGCTTCTGGCCTCACAGGACTGACCTGAAGGCTATGACAGGAAGCAAAGACAGGAGCCCAGCCTTCTCCCCAGCTGAGGAGAAAAGGTCCAGAGCCGGGGCCTGGCAGAGCACCCAGAGAAGTCTCAGAAAGGGGGAAGGCTCCAGCCCCACCAGCCTGCTGGACACAGGTGACTGGAGCAAGAGAAGGTGCTGAGGAGAAGAGGTGAGGAACCAAGAAGCTGTGTGGTGGGCAGACGGGCCAGGGCACAAGAGCATTCGAGTGCTCGGGAGCTCGGCAGTGATGGGGACTGCAGAGGGGTTGGCTAGACACAGAGGACAAAGACAGGGTCAGCCCAGCAGAGCTCTGTCTCAGGTGCCCACAGTGGGCCAGCTCTTACCTTGGTGACTTTCGCACTGTTCTACAGACCTGGGAAGACACTGGCCCTCCCCAGCCAGAGATGTAGAGCACAGCTTACATGGCTTCCTGTCTCGGCCTCTGGAGTGGCTGGGATGGCACGTGCGTACCATATTTGGCACTCTCCAGGTCTTTATTAGAAGTACATCCTTAGCCAGGCATAGTAGCACATGCCTATAATCCCAGCTACTCAGGAGGCTGAGGCCGGACGTCAAGAGTGTGAGCCCACCCTGGGCAAATTAAGAGACTTAATGAGATCCTGTCCCAAGATTTAAAAAAATTGAAAGCGCTGGAGATGTAGCTCAGTGTAAGGGCCCTGGGTTCAGTCCCTACTACTGGAGGGCGGGGAGCAGCAGCACAGTATCTTTTAGGCATGCACAGCTGAGTGCAAGAACCAAGACAGGTCTCTGCCTCAACCCTACCTTTGAGTAGAGGACAGCCCACAAGGCAGCGCGTAGCCACGCTGGGCCCAAGGTTCTGCATATTGCTCCTGGGGTCCAGGGAACATTAGACAGCATGGTGCTCCCAACATAAGAACCCCAGCAGGACCTTGGGTTTACAGGCCACGGTCTGGGGTAACAGCCAGCTGTTGCCATGTTGCCAGGGGCACACGCGGGGCCATGGCCCTGAGCAGCAACAAGAGATGGCACCCAGGTGGCCAGGGGATGAGAGCCACACCCTATCCCTGGGAAGCAGACCGGAGCCTGCAGCCCCACAGGGCTGCATAACACTGTTTGGGCCAACTGATGTCTGATGTCTCCTGGAGGGAGGGCCAGGGCAGGACATGGCTTTTCCCTTCCTTCAAAGCCTCAAGTGAAGCCAAACTGAAGCCTGACCCAAGGACCCACCAGGAACCCGGACCCCACCTTGCTCTAGTTCTTCCTATCCAGTCCTCACCCTGTGGGCAACTTTGCAACGACAGGTGCTAGGAGAACCTGGGCCTCCTAGCCCTGTGCTCTCCCACCTGCTGCAGGGGAGGGTGGAGGGCTCACCTGCATCTTGACTGCAATCACCACGGACATCAGCTCCTTCTCCAACTCTCTGAGAACTGCCAGCTTCTTCAGGGTTAGGCTGCATAACCTGCAAAGCATGCATAGCTCAGCCCTTGGGAGCGCCCAGGAGTACCACCCCAATGCCACACCAGTTGGACACTGGTCCTTAACTCCAAGGAGCAGGCCCAGCCTCTGCAGCATCCCCAAGGCTCCCTGCACACAGTGGCCAGGGGTCTTGGCTCTCTCTGCAGCTTTCCCACCTTTCTACTCAAATGAAGCTAAAGATGCCTGCTCATGGGGTGGCATGGGACAAATGTGTATTCCTCTGAAATGAGGCACACTGCCCACCTTACAGCGTCAAGTTCCTGGACAAACATCCCCAGCTCTGTGTGCTAGGTCCCACTGGGGAGCTCTCCTGAGCTGCCAGCCATGAAGTATACCCAACCTAGCAGATGCCAGGCACAACCCCTCCAGGGCACAGCCCTCTGCCATCAGAACAAGGACTGTGTGGGGACATAGCAATTCATCCTTCCCATTTAGCTTTAGGGGTGTGGCCTCAGGGAGTGGTGTGGGCTCTTTCGTACCTGGCAGACCACAAGCCCAAGCCCAGTGAGCCCAGTGGTTCTACTGAGCTCAAAAGGTGAGGGCAGGGGTGGGACTTCCTTCAGGGAATGCCCTGACCCTATAGGAGGGGCAACAGGAGGCAGGTGCATCATGGCATCTGCAGGGGGCATCTGAGGATGAACAGGGCAAAGGAGGGCCACAGCAGACAAGCAGTGGGCACCTTACACCTGAGTGAGAAGACTCAGACACAGGCAGGTTCCAGTGGGCCCCGTAACGCCAGCAGCTGGGCTGTGTGACTCTGCAGGGGACCCAGGCATGGTCCAGGTGGCATCTTTCCAGCAGGACCTGGTCAGTCCAGCCCATCAGGAAAGCACAGGCCCCCCAGACACTGGGGATGCCTCATCGCAAGGGCAGTGCCAACCTCCTATGTGTGTCTGTTCTAGACAATGGTGACCTCAGGCTGGCAGCTTAAAATCTGGGAGCCATCTGGGGGTTTGGTATTTTCCATTTAACATTTTTGGATTGTGGTAGAACTTGAGACCTTAAAACCATGGAATGTGAAACTGAAGGTAAGGTATAACTACAGTGATAGGAAGACAGCTAGAAGAAATTCCTAGGCCTGGGGAACTAAATAACCCTCAATCAGAAAGGAAATCTCAGAAGAAACTAGAGGACCCTGGCTAGAATAAAAATGGAACACAACAAGCCAGTATTGACGAGACACAGCCAAAGCAGTGCCAAGAGGGGACATCACTGCACCAAGTACACTTACGAGTGGCAGGGATGGAGCTCAGTGGCACAGAGCCTGCCCGACAAGCACAAGTCCTGAGTTTGATTCCTGGTACAATACATAAATAAATACAAACAAGCAAACAATAAAGTAAAACCAAATGCCAGCTTCTTGAGACAACTAACAAAAGTCATAAAACTTCTAGACAAAGAAAATAAGGGGCCAGCGAGATGGCTCAGTTGAATAAGCACTTGCCTGGCAAGTGCAAGGGCCTGAGTTCAATCCCTGGCTCCACAAAAAAAAAAATACAGAGTAAACAAAAAGTTCAGTTATCAGAAATTAATGAAAGAACTACAGACCTGGGGGCTAGGGATATAGCTCAGAGAATTAAGAACCTACCTGGCAAGTACAAGGTGAGGAAAGGTCTCATCCTTGGCCCCACATGCCTTACTGTCCCCAGAACCCCAGGGAGCCATGCTGGCCCCAGAACTGTGTGTGGCAGCGTAATCCCAGTACTCAGGAGGTTGACAGAGGAGGATGACTGTGGGTGTGAGTCCAGCCTGGGGGCTACAAAACTGAGCACAAGGCCAGCCTGATCTGCATAGCAAGACCCTGTCTCAAATAAATAAATAAATAAATAAATGTATTTAAAAAAAAAAAAAAAAGAACTACAGACCTCACAGATGAGAAAGCACCAAAAACCTCAAGGACATAAATTTGAGAACTTAGATAAAATGTAAAAATTATTTCAAAGCCATCAAGTACTAGAAGTCACTAAGATAAAACAGAGAACAGAATAGTCCTGTATTTACTAAATAAACTGAATCAATAGTTCAAAACACGCTAAAGAAGAAAACTTCAGGCATATTCAACCAGACATTAAAAGAGAGGTGGATACAGGGTAGCAGCAGAGCACCGCCTGCTGTGAACAAAGCCCTAGGTTCCACATGTGGACAAAGCCCTAGGTTCCACATGTGGAC